GCAATAGCCAATAGCAAACTAGCTATTGCACCCGCCCTCTGCTGCTGCCAATCACTAGAGGGGACCTGATGGAGAACTGCAGGTCCCCTTTGCTGATTGACAGCAGCAGTGGGCGGGTGCAATAGCTAGTTTGCATTTGGCTATTGCAAATTGAAATAGCCAATAGGAATCTAGCAATGCATTCCTATGGTGAACATTTTTTTTTACTCTGATGGCAGCCAAACGGCTCCATGTCAGAATAAAAAAAAAGGCAGGGAAAGTTTTACTCTGCTCGATCGAGCAGAGTGAACCTTTCTTGGAAAAAGTGTTTCTCTCCTAGGCGGCCGGGAACGGGAGACTCCCGGAGCGCCCGGGAGAGTTTGCTGTCTGGAAATCAGTGTCCCTGGTAAGCTGGTAACCAGGGACGCTGATCTCTCTACAAGTGGCCTGAGCCAGCCGTGAAATGACGGCTTGCTCCGCCCAGCTGTCAGAAGCAGGCTGTTGGCCGGCCAATGGCCAGCCATTCGGCCAGCTTCTGCTTTCAGCGCGGCTCAGTCGAGCCGAGGCATATGCCTTCGGCTTGACTGAGTCGCTCGGCCAACTTCGGGAGCGGTACGGGCTTTAGGGAATAGCCCGTACAGCAGCCCTTCGGTTCTACTGAACCGAAGGGGTCCTGAGGCCGAAGCTAGCCGAAGGATCAGCCAGATCCTTTGGCTGCTTCGTGAATAGACCCCTATGTATTAGACTGTCGTTTTTGTTCATGTTCATTTATACTGGAAGCTGGAATAGCTGCTCCAGTAGGACGTAGTGAGGGACACTACTGTTAGTTAGCCTCCTAAGGTGGAGTAGGCCTTTTTATTTATGTTACTCTTGAGTTTCTGCTGGAATTAATTTGTTTAAAAAGGGAAAACGTACCCTGTTGATAAAAATAAACTTTTTATGTTGAATGCAATAAAGCCACATTTATTGCCAATACTGATCACAGACCAGTGACTTTCAAACACTGTCTTACAATGTAATTAAGTTATATGCTGTTAAATAAGTTTGAAGTATTGGAAAGTCACTTACCACTGCCATCAAACAGGGGTCCCAGCATGTCAGTGAACTAGCAAAATGACTCCTTATAACACCGTCTTCAGTTATCCTTCCTATGATGCCAATGCAGCATGGAAACACTTCTGTATTCACAGTGCTCAATTTCCTCTGAAACAAAAAAAAGTAGGTCAAACCTTTCTGTCTCTCCTGAAATAAACTATACCTGTGCCTAATTTGTGTCTTTGAAAAGGGAAGAGCTTGAGCACAAAAGAGTGCTCTTTATTCTAATCCCTATACCTGCGTTGATGTCTGAACATATGAAACACTAGAAGTCCACAACTGGATCTTAGTATTGATATGTTATAGTAGCAATTTAATTCTAAATTTTTATTGTATATGTAAGCATTTCCTTCCAGTCAAAAGACACAGCATCAGATTTTTCAGCTGTAGGTAGAAGCCAGAAAGTTGAATCACTCACTTGTTTCATAAATAATAAAGTACAGAAACTGGCAATACAAAGAGTTTATATTATATTGATGTTTCTTTTTAGAAAATAATTGGGTTGTTTGAATACAGGAGTGATCTGAGGGGCTAAAGAAATCTCTAAGGCTGGGTTCACAATTTTGTGATAATGCCTGCATGTTATCACACAACATCATGCAATACGCTGAATTAAGGCGGCCAATCCAGAATTTTATGTACTGACAGTAAGTGGGGCAAAAACACACCTGAACCTTTATTGAGAATGCAAAGCACAGCAACATACTACTGTGCTTTGCAGGGTATTACAGCACAGGTGGGTTGCCTTAGTGCAGTGAGGTGCCATTCAAAATTAATGACACCCCAGCGCACTGCTGCACATAATGAGCATTACCATTACCACAGTGCAATAGTGTTGTTTGGCTCTAACACATTAAACATGCAATATCATATCAATCTCACAGTAAAATCCTTTCCTTGCAGTTTATTGAGCGGCACAGGATTCAGAGACATCATAAGGTTTTGGGGTACTAACAAGGATTTGAACACTGGCAAAAAAAAACCTGACCAACGTTGTATAGACCATCCCACATCCAGTATACAGTAGGTATAGCCCAGCCCACTTCCACTATCCAGTTTTGTAATAAAGCTGTACTGAGAGCAATACTATAAACAAAGAGGTGTGGGACTTGAGTCCCTCAATAAACTCCAAGAAAAGGATTTTACTGTGATTACAGTCTTTGAGGATCACATAATTCAGAGACATTTGGGATGTCCAAAAGCACTCTAACTGAGGGGTGTGAAACACCGGAAACAAAATGCTAACAGGCCCACTAAAATTTACAGAAAAACATTGGGACTGTCCTGCAGCTTCATGAGCTGCCTGAAGGACCTTATGCCTAAAGCTGGCATCAGATGAGGCCTGTACATCCACCTGATAAAACTCAGAGAAGACCAGGAAGCAGCATTGCATTCTGGGAAACAGTTGCCTGCTGCCAAAGATGATTATTTCTACATCAGTCATTCAACCACAAGTTATCAGGGGGTAGCTGTGACATAAGAAAGCAAAGCCCTGCTGCTCTACCAATAAGGCTGTCTCCACACAGAGACACAGTGTAGTAGAAGGCATGCTAAGTCAGTGACCGGAAAAGAGCAGCTGCATGGAGACAACAGGTAATATTGGTGACTAATCTTTTGCCTATTTTTGGGCATAGATTCCAATCATCACTAACCCTTTTATGAGCAATTTTTAGATTTTATTGAAGCTTAGTCACCCAGACCAAGTTTAGCAGTGTCGGTATGCATCAGTTAATTTGAAAATAACTATGACTAATTTTTCTGATTGGCAGAAGGTCTAAGAACTAGGTACACCCAAACATATGCAATCCTGGTTCTCTTCTGCAAAGTTAATGTTTTCACAACAAGGGGCATTTTACATTTGGACTTATAAAGTTGTTTTGCATTGTATGCTTTACTTCACCTTTCATATCCTATATTATATTGAAGCCCTGCTTTCGAATGTTCACATTCTGTGTATTGGCTGTCCCTGCACATTCATCTCGCTTCCTAATTATGCAACTAATCTTGATAAGTAGTTTCATCTTGCTCATCTTTTGATTGCATTGTATCACTTGTCTCCTTTCTCATAACTTGCTAATTGTCTGTTTTGTTATATAAATAAATTATATTCAACTACAAAGTTATTTTGCAGCCACAAAGAAGTTAGAGACAAAGTCACCAATGGCAATTTTTAATAATCTAAATCTTCACTCTTAAATTGTTATACTAGATGAAGCATTACCTCTCACAGTTTACTTGATCCCCGGTGCACAGGAAGTTAGGTAAGGCTATCATAAAAATTATATAAAAAGTGTACCCATTATGGAACAGGAAGAATAATGAAGGAATAATTAGATAGTGACATAGTAGGTAAGGTTAAGAAAAGACACAGGGGTCTATTCACAAAGCTGCCGAGGGCAGCCGAGTGAATGACCGATCAGAAGTGAAGTGAGCACTGTTCGGCTATTCACTTCAGGCTGGTACGGCTGATTTCAGCCGTACATTGGATGAAATCAGCCATACATCGGCTTGCTTCGTGTGGCATCGGATCAGCCGAACATGCTCAGCATGTTCGGCTGACCCGAAGTGCAGAAGGAGTTCGACTCAGCCGATCCAACATCTGGATCGGCTGAGCCGAACCTCCGGCAGGCTTCACACTGCTGTTCGGGCTATTCTTATAGATCCCGAATAGCAGTGAGAGAATAGCCGAATGCCGCTGAGCATTGTCCTATTGTCCGGCGGCTCTGCTGCTGTAAACAAAATTAAAAAAAAAAAATTTAAAAAATCTCCCGGGTGCTCTGGGAGCCCCCCGCTCCTGGCCGCCAAGAAGAGAAACCACGCTGTGTCTTTTTTTTCTTTATTCTGACACGGAGCGATGTAGTTCATCAAATTCAAACTATGTGTGTATGTGAGTTTAATTGTGTTTGATCCAGAGGAAGGTAAAAAACACACAAGCATAGGCCAATTTGCTGTAATAGTTACAAAAAAAATAATAATAATAATAATATTCCTTCTCAATCCCATAATTGGTAATTGGATAAATGCCTGGATCAATCTCGTCTCGAGTTTAAGAAGTCCCATAGCCCTGTATATTATGCTAACTGAGAAAGATATCAAAAAGTTTTTTCCATTCATCCCCCACCCTCAGCTAATACTATTTCCTGGGGAAGAGTTTCACATTTTCATTATTCAAACAGTTAAGTACCCCTTTCTCAGTTTGAGAATAAACCTATGGAAGTAAGCCTACAAATATAAAAGTGCTAAAAAGTAGAGTTTTTTTGTCAGAATAGACATCCCAAGTCTCTTCTACCAAAAAAAAAAAACAAGTAGAAAAAACAGCGGTTTCTAACCTCCAGCAGTATTTTATCTCATGCACCATGCATTGTACTACTCCCTTCCCAGCATCTGCACTATGCCAAGAATGGAGCTGGGTGCTCGAGGACAATTTAATTCCTGTGTGCATATGCAGGAGTTATGTCATCATAGGATTGGTGATCAATAATGATAGAGAAAATACAGGAGCTGAGTGGGTCTAAAGAAGAGGAGACACAAAAGCTGGGTGGGGACAATGGATGAAAATAAATACAAAGGAGCTGAGGAGGGATGCTGAAGAAGAGCAGAGACAAAGGAGGTGAATAGCAACAATGAAACAGAGCAGAAACACAAATTATGAGTGGGTCTGGTGGAGATCAGGCACTCTGCCAAAATAGCAGTGAACTGTGAAAATAAGTATGCTGGTTGTTTTTCATTTTGTGTACAAAAGGGTTTCCAAAGTCAATAGAACAGAGAAAAGGAACTAGAATGGACTGGTAAACTACTTTAGGAGATGAATGGGTAAGTTACTTCAGTATCTCATATATTGTTTTGACCTCTGATCTGATATTTAAAATATATGTATGTTTTGGTACAGACTATGTAATATGTTAACACTACTGAGACTTGTCTATTTATAGAATTTTAAAATTGTTTGTAATACAACTTGTTGTATCATAATTATGATTACATTTATATCATTTGTTTTACTATTTAACCTTAAAATACTGCGAGGGGAATTTATCAAAACTGGAGCAGACATTCTAGTAGCAGCTGTGCACTGCAACCAATCAGCTTCTATCTTTCATTTTCAAATCTTAACTTAACAAACTAAAGAGAGATGCTGATTGGCTGCCCTGGGCAACTGCTCCAGATTTTGTCTGCTCCAGTGTTGATAAATTCCCCCCAGCATGTTATGGACTGGAGGTTTCTTTGCTCACATGTGCCTGTTTTGTTTCTCCTCTGGGGGCCGTCGGATGACGATCAGTTTGCCTTATAGGTGCCATTCACCCATCTGCAGTGATTTTTGTGCTGCCTGGGAGGAGCAAGACATCAGGCATCTGATTGTTGGGCTATATCAACGAATTGTCATCTACCAGAGGTGGGATATGGAGTCATTGTTTCAGCATTTTGACTATTGTGTCCCCATATGGGATCTCTTACCATTTATGGGCGTGTTTACCGTTATTTGGTCATTTTGGGTTGCCCTGTGAACTGCTGACCTCTTTCCCTGTCTTCCTGTTCTGGTTCACAATGTATAGCCGTCTATATAGCCATCTGTACGCCCTCACGTGTGCGCATCTGAAGTGCATTCCACTAATGTGGGGAGGAGAACATTTGCTGCTCATATTGGAAAGCCTCAACACATATGCTATGCTATTTGAATCGACAGCAGGTATTACTTTTATATATTACCGTTACAATATTGGAGATCCTCTCTTTTTATTTTTTTTGTTCATTGTTTTCTGCTTTTTGATTGCTTAGATTATTTTGAATCTAGTTACTTTTTTGCCTCATATGTCTCCAAACTAGTGGCCTTTTTTGCCCCCTTTTTCTTTTTTTTATAGTATTTTTAAATACCTCTCCTCATTGCTCGGTTTTCTCCTGCAGCCCCCTAGGGGGAACCAAGGTCGTGACTATTGGAGCCTCTGCAGTCCTGTTTTGCTCACTCCAATTGGAGAATAGCTGTTGCTATATTCATATAAGGTTACAATCATCCACAGTAAGATGTTGTCATTTTATACACCAAATCACCATGTTGTTGTAATGGAATTATGATTTTCTAATGGTACTTTATGTTACCTTATAGTCATATGTTCCTGCTGATGAAGCCATGGCTTTGGCGAAATGCATAGAGGATGTTCCACAACAGTAACCATCCATTTATTCCAACTAAGGACTCACTACTCCTACCTTGTCATCATCTCTGTATATAAGGTTTATGCTTACCAAGTTTAGGTTGAGCACCAATATGCATATATGTTTTCATGTTTTGTATTTTTAATGTCTTTAATAAAATATATTTGTATACAATTTAAAGTGTCTGTGAAGGTCCTATAATCACTTAAAAAGACCTCCATGACTTCCAGCCCTTAGCCTTTTGGCTTCCGAACTGTCTCTTTTGTCTACATATTGCTTAATGGGTGTGGCTGTAGGACCTTCCCCTCTTGAACATAATCTCATTACTAAATTATGCTGCCTGTATGCATTGCAAGACTTAGAGGGTTATTCACAAAAGGGTGAAGAGTTATGAGAAGGCAGGAGAAGTAATCAATCTGGGACAACATAGCTGATTTTGGAAAAATTCTTCAATTAAGCTCATTTCTAGTTAAGCTATGTTGTCCTAGATTTTTTTTTACTTTTCCTGCCTTCTCCAAACTTTTCACCATTTTGTGAATAACCCTGTTAATGTTTAATTTTGATGATGATATCTTTAATATTTACATTTAAAAATGTATGCTGCCTGTTATATTATATTCAAACTTAAAGGAATTCTTACCAGAAGTGAAGTAAATGAGGAAAGCAATTCTGATGAAACAGTCCTGAAATAAGGATTCAACCTGGGGATGAATAAAACAGCAAGGCAGACTATGAACAGCTATAAGAGAAAATGAACTGGAGGCATGAAACACATCTGACACCGATAAATATCTTTCTAATGACCCCCTGATTGATATGGGTGATCAGATACATTTGTTTTCTGTCACTTGAAAGACTATCTCACAACACATTGGGTTCATTGGGTTATAGTAGATCTGTCATCTTGGCATAAACTTACCCTTTTTAGATTAAAACATCAAATAAATTATATTTTAGTTAAAGGTAGCAAAAGTTCCTTCCAATAAACTCTTTCCCCTTGCTTCTGCTATACACGGCCTGTGCAACCTATTTCTGTTTTTTAAAAGTTTCCTGATAAATAGGTTTTGCAAGGTAAAAGGGGAAGGTCATCACAAGAGGTAGAATGTTTGTGCAGGTTGAGTAGTAAAAATTGTTCTATATATCATAAAATGAAAACAAGCATTTGCAATTTATGAGTACTAAAAACATGAAACTTATAGTAGAAGTTCCATATATATGCAGGGCCCACACAGTGAAGATCTTATTTAGATATAAGAGCTAAAATGTGGAGTGTGGGGAAAACTTTGAAATACAATTTTACTAAAAGTGAAGTTGTCCTTTTAATACTCGTTATAATTTTCTTTGGCTGCAATAACAGCAGTGAGTCTTATTTTGAAAGGTCTGTAACAGCTTTGTGCATCTCAATCTTACTCTTTTTCACAATATTGCTTAAGCTCTGCCCAATTGCCAATTGGATTGTGATTTTGGTCTTTAAAGAAGCCATTCCATACATTTGATTTCCTAATGGTAATTTCCACATGGTGGGATATTATGTAGAAGGTGACCCTTTGTTTATTTGTATTTATGTAAGTGTTTTCTCATTGCAATTGAATCTGGCTCTTAACATGTATTTCACACAATAATTGTATGAATTTTATGTGGGGTTTTTTTGTATTAGCATACCTACTCCTGGTACCTGAAAAGTCACTTAAACTATGAGTGATTTGGATTGATTTACCAAAGGCAAATAGCTGTTCAGTTTGCAAGTACATTTTCCCTTAGCTTAGGTGAAGCTCTGCTGACCTCCATCATCCAAACATGTGCAAGCAAAAATGTTCTTTTTTTTAATTTTCATTGCACATGATTGGGCATTCTCTGCAAAGTGAAGTTTCACTATATTCCCCTAAAAGGCGAAAACTTTCTTGCAAAATAAATAGCATTTTTTTGGGTTTAGTAGGGCCCGGTTTACATCTGAACAGTCGCAGAAACACACACAAACACAAACCGTGCTTGCAGTATCATTAATTTCTGATGGCACCCCAAATGCGGCCAGCAATTCGAGCCATTTTGACGTTTGAAATCAATGGGGCCGCACAGCAACCACGGCACACAGTCCCGTGCAAACGTGCACATATGTGCAGTCCCGGGACACAAGGTCCTGGGTCAGCGATATGTGAACCAGGCCTAAATCAACCCTACTGTGTCACTAATTTGCTTTATACACTGAGCAGCTGTTGTTAAAATGTTTAAAGACTGGACTGTCAGCTGAAAATCTGGGTCTGAACGTGCGAATTGTGGCCGTCAGCGACTAGTCAATGTTAGGGCAGAACGGAGAGTGGCAAGACTGGTACAAGACAACAGAAGGGCAACAGTGCAGTGTCAAATTCCTTGCATCACCTTTCAATATCTTGTGGAGTCATGAGGCGGCCCAACAAAGTCATCTCGTGGAGTTATCTCGTGACCCAACAAAGTACTGATGGTACTTTGTACCTTTGTACTTTGTACAAAGTACATAATAATCTGGACACTCAGTGTATATGTCCCCTACAGTGTTTTGCACAGAAGCATATTAGTTCAGTTTTAGTGGTAGATTTACTAAGTTGTTTTTGTAGATGTTAAAATTGAAAAAGGTTTAGTGCATAAGCACATTGGGAAAGAGGTAAGGTGCAAATCAGTACAAAAGTACACTGGATTGTATTACTCTAGATTAGGCTATAATCTCTTCTAGATCTGCCTCAAAGTATCTGATGGTTAATATCAAGATCACAGGTGGGGCTGCCTGGACTGCAGATTTCTGGCTCTTCGATGATTAAGGCAGGGGGAATCTTTGCATCTTTCTATGTGCCTAGGCCCAATGTCTAGTAGAAACAGATGTGCTTATTTACTAAAGGAAATAGGCTGTTCATTTTGCAAGGGAATTTTCACTTTAAAGGTTTCTCCTTAGTTAAGTGAACAAGGTGAAGCTCTGCTCACTTCCATTCTTTTATTTTCCTTGCATGTGATGGCAAAGTGCAAATTTCCTTTCAGGTGAACAGCCTATTTGCCTTTAGTAAATCAAACTCTTAATCTCATCAGACTATAGAACATTTCCCCACATAATTGCTGTGTTTCCTGCATGCAAAATCTGTATGGGATTCATTATGGTTTTTTTCTCAGAAATATTTAACTTTTGTATACACACTGGATTTGTGGATTATCTGGGTTGCCATGTTTTTATGAAAAAGCTACAGTGGGGTCTCCTAATCATTTTTCATTTTTTAACAAAACTGACCCTAAAAAAGATTAAGTCTGGTATTAGCAGCAGGGAGCTCATATTTAGACAAATGTTCTGTTCATCTCTAGTCTCCTAAGAATTTTTTACAGATATCAGCAGATTAAAACCTAGCAGTGGTCCGCACAGTGTAGATTACAGACTGAATGCACCTAGGAACTGGATAAAGCTTGCAGTGAACTAATAGTGGAACACAGCCTATAGTTAAAGTTATACTCTCAAATACTGATATTTTAAAAGTAAGCCCTATACAATGGCCCCTTATGGCCCCTGGACCAGCACGGTAGGTGTATGTGGCTTGGCTGGAGGGAGTTCAGCACGCTTCCAGTGACTGATCTCCCCTCTGGTTACTGAATCCAGAAGTGGCAAAGGTTTTGTCACTTCTGGTTTCAGACTGTCATTTTTCTAGCTGCTGTGGCTGAAGAAGAAGCTGGTGAAGAATGGTCTGTGCTTCCTCAGTTCAGTGGGGTCCATAGGTGAGATTAGTCCCTAATGGACCCCTGATGTCTCCATAAAAGGACCTGGCACTAACTCTGTGCTTTCACACTGGTACCCCCCCCCCCCATGTGATAGCAATAAAGCTAAATTTAAAAAAAGTTTAAAGAAGTAGTGACATCTGTTATAGTTTACAAAAAAAATGATTTTATATCGTTTGTGTGCACTAACATTATTCTCCCAAGGCCTGTGCTTTCAGAAAATATATAATTGTTTGGAAGTTTTAAGCAGTTTTCTATCCTACAATTCAGATTTTAGCCTGTGTGTGTGTAAAAATCAGAAAAAATTGGTGAAACGGTCAAAGGTTATCTAACAAAAACGTTTTTTTTGGGTGGGGGTAGATTACTGAGTGGTTAGAATTGTGCTGTCGTTTTTGTTTTGGGATTTACTGATGATATGACTAGTGTATATTTCACTAAGATATGTAAATGTATATCTGGAATATTGTCGATATCAAATCCTGGTGTCGCCGATTTATTGTTTCATAGGATGAACATACTACATGATCATTGCTACTATTTCATGTGCATTTCTGTAACACTGTCACAATGTATCACAGTATGTTTATTTTTCATCTCCAAAATAAAAAAAGTTAAAAAAAATTGTGCTGTCAGGCTTTTTGTAATGTCTTTGTCCCTGTGGGGTAAATGTATGCTGTGTCTATTGTCATAGACAATTGTTATAGGTTATAATTGAATGGGAAATTTAAAGAAGAACTCCAGGCAAATTTTTTCTTAACCCTTGCAGTGGGGCTACCCCTGCGCTACAAGGGTTAAGGGCTTGTTTTTCATCTAGGTGCTAAAACAAACAAGTTATACTCACCCAATCCTCCTTGGACCAGTCCTTCCAGCCTCTCTCCCCCTCTGCACCATAGGTCTAATGCCTCATGAGTCATGACATCCAATACACTGTGTATCGGACATAAGGATGGCGAGACATAAGATTGCCAAAAAATAGGAGAAAGGGTGGAATGCCAGGTGCAAGGTTAGGGTGAGTGTAACTTTTTATTTTTGCACCAAAACTAAAATAAGCACGTAGCCCCGCTGCAAGGGTTAGGAAAAGTTTTTTTCCTGGAGTTCTCAATGTAAAAAAAAATAAAAGCAATGATCACTAATACAGGCGGTGAGGGGAAATCTTCCAGTGTGGCCAACAATGGGATTTACCCTCGCCTCCTCTTCAGGACAGGAAAGGAAGTACAATCTTCATCACCAGGTCAGAGACAGCAGAAAAAAAATAAATGTTTCCCTATGCTATTCACAACTCAAAAATAAGTTTAGATACACTTTAAATATTTGATATTAACAAAAAAATGTATGTTATTAAAGTGATATTTGTGTAATCACACTAAGGAAAGCTTTTTTTTTTCAAAACAGAAGTTGAGAGTAAAACATATAATTTCAGAGCTTTACAGAAACCAGTTATGTTTCCACACAGCATCTATTTACTACAAATGAAACACAATAAGAACAGAAGCTTTTCATGGACTGATTTCTTCTTTGAAGTAGTGCAGAGAGCTGTTTGTCTACATTTCCTCTAATGCTCCACAAACATCGACTTTCTTGGTAAAAGCTGTCTTTTAGCTGTGTATGACAGAAAAGTCAAACTAAAGTGCATTACCTCTGCTCCTGTGTCAGGCTACACAGTATGTCCATGGCTTCACCTGCTCTCCCATCCATTAGTGTCACATATTCTAGAAGACGTTTCAACAGCCTAGACGATACAAGGAAATGTCAGCCCAAAAGAGTGTTCATTGTTATTTTTAGATAAAGAGATATGGGAATAAAGTGATAGGATTCTTGAAAGTATGTGATATGCCTTATCCAGAATGTACGGTATAGCCATAAAGTGTGAATGCTGGCTCCTCTACAATACAAGAGCAACATAGGAATAAACGTAAAGCTGACTACAGAAATAGAAGATTACAAATAAGATTGACAAAACATATAGACCCTCTCAATAGTTGATACACTCATAACTGGTACTTCAGTTTGGCATAAAAGCAATCAGGTGAAGATGAGTCACGTACCAACTTGAAATATGTTTTAGGATGATTAAGCAAAAATGCACTTTCCTGTGTACCCAGAGGACCCTTGAACCCAAAAACAAGCTATAGGCACATCCTCCCTTTGTAGCTGTAACATACCTGGCATTGCCTTTAGAAATGTATGGAGCACCTCACTTACCATAGCCAAGTATCTCACTCATGATTTCTTGCATCCAAACTTTAAAAAAAGTTTTGTCTTTACATACACATTTTTTTTCTTTTGATTATAAGGCTAAACAATATGTGCACTTTACCCACTGTGAGTATCTTTTACAGTAGATCCAAAGGGAAGCACCCATAGATAACTACTTGTATTGTCAGATAATCTTAAAGTGACACTAAATCCTAACAATGCATTCAAGTACCCTAACTATTAACAAAAATGTATTTTAATTGTGTATCACTTGGCTGTTGATCCTGACACTGATCCAAATCATCCCTGAATTCACCCTGACACTGTCTATCCTTCGGGAGGGGGGGGGGGGCTACTTTTGTTCCCAATGGTCCCTGTGTGTGTTGTAAAGTAGCCACCTCTCCAAGTTCGCTCCCCTGATAGACTAAAACTTCTGTACAAATTAGATAACTGAATGCAAGCTTGTAGCTGTGGCTACTTTACAACACACACAGGGACCATGGGGAGCAAAAGGATCCACCCTCTAAAAGCAAGGAAAATTTCAGCATGAATTCAGAGTGATACACATATAAGCTACATTTATGTTCCTAGTTAAGATACTTTGAAGCATTTTTAAGAATTAACTCTAGTTGAGTGTCACTCTAAATGCACCTGTGGATCCCTAAAATTCTAGGTGCTCTGTATTGAAAATATTAACCACTTCCTTGACTTATCATCATCTCATCTCCTCCAGCCATGGATGGCCGTAATGTCCCATAGGAAAACATGGGATGTAGAAGGAGACAAGACTGAGCCTAACCAATCTTAATATATACATGATGAGCACCTATAATTTGCAGATCTTGGTATACTCTGAAGATAACTTTAGCATGTGAGATGCCACCTGGGATTGTTTGATCCTGGAAAGAAATTACAAAGTAGGGTGAGTCCCTTGGTTTACTTTAAAAGTGTTCACTCTAGTTTTGAGATTGCTAATTTTTTTTTTTTGATTACTTATTTTCAGACACCATATTGTATTTTTTATGATAATATCTGATTGTTAGAGAAGCCATCATCAAATTAAAGGATAAATAGGGGGCTTGTGGGGTGCTAGAAATGAAGCCAAGCTTGACTTTATATAAAAAGTCAAAATTGACTAGATCTACGCTAGTTATCCAACAATGTATGAGGGGTCTTTGCTGAGGACATACAACATAGATTTCATTTAACCAATGGGTATTTTATAATGCTATGCTAGTGTGGTTTCTCGTGCTTATCAACTCCTTCCACAGCTGAAATTGTTGAAAAGAAGGAAATACAATGGCAGCAGTTAGAAGGAAAATTCTAGAAAATCAAGAAAAGTGAAAGCAGAAGTTATGTCTAATTTTATTTTGCCTCCTTGGTTTCTCTCCCTCTCTTCCCACCTTTTTAACATGCTAATATTTTTTGTTTAAATAAGAGCTTTCAATTTTAATTACTTACCTTGCTTTAGACCCAATAAATCCATCACTGTGCCTCTTTGAAATGGAGGCAGACCAAGGCTCTAGGGAAGGGATGGTAGGGTGCTATACATAGCTTCTTGAAAACATCCCAACACCCTGAAGCAGTACTCATCTCAAGAGTAAGACCTGATGGAAGCAGTGGCCTGGCTCTTGGGATAAGTTATGCAATTATGAAAATGGGCAGGTGTCAGTCTGAAAATGTAGATATTTTTAAGCATGCTGCATTTGCATGCAGAATGCCCACAGTAATGTCCACAAGTGATGCTGAGCCTTCCTGGTTAAAAGAACTGAAATCCAATAAACAAAATGGGATGGGCCAGGGACAGTAAGGCTGCAGAGGAAAATGTTAAATAATGCTGGATGGCCTCCAGCCAGGAAATGAAGTGGGCTCTGACTTGGTGCATCTTCTAATTTTCACTGTGAGAAACAAGTGCGAGTAAGCATTTTCAGTACAAAGAGCCTGTAAAACTCTGCAAGACCAAAGGTAGGGATGGAGCTCAACGTTAATCATTGCATTATGGAGGATCACACATATTGCTTCACAGTTTATCTTCTAGATCTGGGGCTGTTAGGAGATCTTTTTTTTTACATAGGGAAAGAGTTAAAGGAGAATTATGAGGCGAATGAAATCACTCAGCCTCATAGTTCTAGCCGACCTGCCGACCTCAATAGATCTGGAAGTGAGCGAACACATAGAGTCACCGCTCACTTCTCGACCTATCCCTGCAGAGAGCCGTGACTGTCACTCACGGCTCCCTGCAGGGATTCCCCCCTCCCCTGTCCAATCCTCCAGCGCTGAATGGCGGAACGGACAGGGGAGGAGGCGGCACAGCTGGCTCTGCCTCTGGATAGGCAGAGCCAGCTGTCAATCCCGCAGCTGGGTGGATCTTGACAGTAATGTCGAGATCTGTCTGGGTTGCGGTGTCTCAGTATACCGCGAGCTGTAGCTCATGGTATACTGAGCTTAAGGTAAGGAGGATGCGAGTTTGTGTCCTCCCGTTACCCTTTGGAGAACTATGGGGGAAAAGCCCTGACCCCATAGTTCTCCTTTACATAGTTACATAGTATTTGAGGTTGAATAAAGACATAAGTCCATCAAGTCCAACCTATTGCGTGTATGCATTTATGTTTGAGCAGGTGTGTGCGTGTATATGAGTCCATGTTTGATTTTGCTATTAATTGTACTTGTATCCCTTTATGTTATGGTCTCCAAGGAACTCGTCCAGGAGTTTCTTGAAGGATTCCACACTCTTAGCTGAAATCACTTCCTGCAGCAGAGAGTTCCAGACCCTAACCACTCTAACTGTGAATAACCCCTTGCGCCCCGTGTGTAGAAATGTGTTTCTACCAATTTGTAGTGGTGCACTCTGGTCTTTGTTATGGAGCTAACCGTAAACAGTTTGTTAATAATGTTGCTGTCACCCTTGAACAGTTTATACAAAGAAAATCATGCCCCTCTTAATCTCCTAACCTCCAAAGAGAACATATTTAATTTTAACAACCTGGTTTCATAGTTCAGGTCAGGAGTTTGGTTGACCTCTGCTGGACTTTTTCCAGCTCAAGGGCATCTTTTCTTAGTATTGCTGACCAAAACTGGACATACTCCAGATGTGGCTGAACCAGTGATCTGTAAAGTGGCAAAATTATAGACTTGTCCCTGCAATACATTCCCTTCTTAATGCAAGACAGGACTCTGCTTGCTTTGTTTACAGCAGTCTGGCACTGTGAGCTGTTCTTCAATCTGCGGTCTATAATGACCCCCAAATCCATCTCCGTTTCCGACTTCCCTAGTGGCATACCCATAAGTATATAGCCCATTTCCCTATGTTTAACTCCAAAGTGCATTACCTTGCATTTATCGACATTGAACTTCATCTGCCATACAGTTGCCCATTCCCAGAGTTTATCCAGGTCCTCCTGTAATGTTACAATGTCTAAATCTGTGTCTACTACCCTCCCAATTTTCGTTAAATCAGCAAACACTGAGACATGGCTACTCACTCCTTCACCGATATAATTAATAAACAGGTTAAAAAGCATGGGGCCCAGCACAGAACCCTGGGGTATGCCACTCATGACTTCAGCCCAGTCTGAAAAGGTGCCATTTATCGATACTCTTTGTACGCGTTCCTTTAGCCTGTTTTCCATCCACGTGCACACTAATTCATCTATGCCTATAGCCCTTAGCATGTATAACAAGCGTTTATGTGACACCCTATCAAATGCTTTGGAAAAGTCCAGATATACTACGTCCACCATCCTCCCTCCATCCAGATCTCTACTTACCTCTTCGTAAAAGGTTAGCAGGTTGGTCTGGCAAGAACGATCCTTCCGAAATCCATGCTGGTTATCAGTTATTGTGCCATGATCCTGGACGAATTACACTAAGTAGTCCTTAATAATTCCCTCTAACAGTTTACATACTATGCATGTCAGACTAACTGGTCTATAGTTTCCCGGTTGGCATTGTGACCCTTTTTTGAATATAGGTACCACATTTGCACTTCGCCAGTCACTTGGCACTCTACCAGCCATTACGGATTCCTTAAAAATGAGGAACAATGGTCTCGTTATCTCCTTGTTGAGTTCCTTGAGTACCTTGGGTTCCTTTAAATCCTCTGCCAAGTTTTTACAACTGCCTTTTTCTCTACTGGAGAGATTCTTCTCAAATTTGACAGCTGTGATCTTCACTGGTACCAGGAAGATTTCCATTCACCTTCTGTTCCAATCACAACAGCTTAATCGCCCTATTACATCTGAAGAGTTAAACTTAGTAATCAAAGGCCTACCTAATGGCAAGGCCCCAGGCCCAGACGGTTTTTCTTATTTGTACTACAAGATATTTACCCCCATTCTTACTCCTTACTTATTAACATTATATAATGGCTTTCTGGAAGCCTCCCCTATCCCCACTTCTATGCTTGCCTCTTACATCACAATAATTCCCAAACCTCCTAAAGATCACCTGGATTGCTCCAACTACAGACCAATTGCTCTGTTGAATTCGGACCTAAACATATTTTCTAAATTGTTGGCATTAAGATTGAGTCCC